GGTAGGAATCGCAGAATTGAATTAACTACTGTTTTGTACAAAACTGCGTTAATAATAATAATAATACCCAACGATTACCCTCCTCCCGCCCAACCGGCGCGAGGGTCGCAATCCGCGAACGAGCGGAATTAGCCGAGTCATAAAAGCCAAGGGAGTTTTAAGCGTTGCGATCTTATGCTGCTCAGCTACAGAAACAAAAATGTCAACAGCCAAAATTAAGAATTAGAGTAAAGTTTAAAATTTTTAAATGTTACTTGTTAAGAGTAGATAAAATAATTTTTTTAATGGTAAAGAGTGAATCTGTTAGATCAAATGTGCTGGAATGAGAATTGAAATCGTGACATATACGGCGGAATGGTTCGTTTAATTAGAAATTTGTTCTAGAAAATTTTGAAAGTAAAGGTCTAAACTGCCTGGTAGAGCGAGTGGGAATGTTAAAATTAATATCAGATAAGAGAGATGATGTACAGAGTGACCCATTGATGAGTTTTACAAGAAATATTATACCAAGCATTTCCCTACGACTAGCGAGTGTAGGAAGATTTATAAATTTTAAACGGTTAGTGTAAGGGGGGAGATGTAAACTGGAATCCCAGTGCAAATGATTTAAGGCAAAAACTCAGTAAGTTAAAAGTAGGGGTTATTATTTTATTATCGCTTTACGCCCTTTTTAGAAATATATTATTTATGAATTTAATTACTTCAAGGTGCAATTCCATTTTTTTTTCAATAATTTCCACTTTACTTAAATATAATTTAATTTTTTCTATAGAATTTAAAAATTTCCAGATAATACTCACTTTATAAAACTTTTTTTCAATAATTTCMACTTTACTTAATTATATAATTTAATTTTTTATATAGAATTTAAAAATTTTCAGATAATATTCAATTTATAATTTTAATTTSTAATTTAATATAGTAATAAGATTTTATAAACTTTGAAATGTCACACATAATTTTGACTTAAATCCAAATTACATTGCTAGTTTTTTGGTTCTGCTCGGGCACTAGTTAAGTTTTCCTTTATTGAGTTAAGAAATGTAACTGAACATAGTATCTTAAAAATACCCTAAACTAGCTGAGGTTCAACAGTAGCGGCGTCGTCGTTCTTCACGGCAGAGTTTAGCGGATATTGAGAGGTTAGCATAATTTACAATATATTGAAGTGGATGATTGTTTATTTTCATTATTATTTATTGATCAGCAATAACGTCGATCGATTCTGGGAGTTGCAGCGGATGTTTTTTTTAAACAAATATCTGAATGTTGTTGAACTTTAACAACTACATTGTTGCAATGAATGTTGTTATGTTGAAATAAATATTTGTTGTATTATATTAAGTACATTTTTACATGTGCATGTATCTGGTTTTAGGCAGCGGTAAGTATTGGATATAAGATTGGATGGAGTCATGTGTAGAAGTTCACGCAAGTGAGGAAAGTTTTCTGATCGCCACTCACTTGGGAGTGGCCAGAAACGATTCTTTTACATATGACTCAAGCCGCTCACGACTTCTCAATTATCCTCTGAGTTGCCTAAGAACATCTGTTTGAAGGCGAGCTAAAGTGAGAAGGTGAAATATCCCCTACATAGGGTTGTGCGCTGGGTTTGGGACCCGCCACGTAAAAAAACACCCCCAATGACAACGCAACAACAGCCTTGGATGAGATACCCCACTTTTGATTACGACCGTGGCAAAGGAAATAAGGACTACGAATTGAGGGCATGCACCTGGAATGTTCGGTCCCTTAATTGGGAAGGTGCCGCTGCCCAGCTGGTTGATGTCCTCGTAAAAATAAAGGCTGACATCATCGCCGTCCAAGAAATGTGATGGACGAGACAAGGACAGAGACGAGTAGGTTCTTGCGGCATTTACTACGGTAGCCATATAAAAGAGCGCAAGTTTGGTGAGGAATTCGTGGTGGGAGAGAGACTCCATCGCCGAGTACTATCCGAGTATGTTCACCCCGGTGAATGAACGTCTAGACACAATCCGCATCAAAGCGAGGTTCTTCAATATATCGCTGATTTGCGCCCACGCCCCGACGGAAGAGAAGGACGATGTGACCAAAGATGAGTTTTATGAGTGCTTGGAAAGCACTTATGAGAGCCGCCCCGCCACGATGTCAAAATCGAGCTTGGCGACTTTAACGCCAAGGTGCGCAAAGAAGGTATCTTTGGCACTACGCTCGGTAAATTCAGCCTCCACGAGGAAACATCCCCAAATTAATTGAGGCTGATCGACTTCGCCGGGGCCCGAAATATGGTTATCTGTAGTACTAGATTCCATCGTAAGAAGATACATCAAGCTACCTGGCTGTTTCCGGATCGAAAACCACCAACCAGATCGATCATGTTGTGATAGACGGAAGACACGTCTCCAGTGTTTTAGATGTGCGTGCGCTCCGAGGTCCTAACAT